AGTAGACTACAATGCCGGCTGTTCTGACTCACAGACTGTAAGTACGTTTTTTATATTTAAAGAATTTGCCACTGACGATTCAAACGCGAGTTTTGAGCTAGTGTAGAGTAGTGTTTGTAGTTTGTCATTTCTCCGATCACAAATGCAGACAGAGTTTTATGTTTACGCGGCACGATGCAATGCATCGCAACGCGTAAAAAGACAGTATAAGTCATTATAATCAGTAATTATGTCCCCACTGGATGCAACAAATGCCTCGTTTGTAATGGGTTTTAATGTTTTTGTCTCGTCGCTCCGGTCGGACATGGCATCAACGGTATGGTGAGGGGCGTAACATTTCCGTCTCATGCTTGAGGTATTCGGCCAATCACAACGCATTGGATAGCTGGCCAATCACAGCACACCTAGCTTTTTCAGACCGATGAGCTTTGTAAAAATCGACGTGTTTCAAAAAGGCGGGGCATAGAGGAGAAACAATAATGTACAGTATGTGGAAAATAATGTGTTTTTTGAACTTTAAACCGCATAAACATTTCATTACACCAAATACACAAAATAATGTTCTTTTTAGCAGCATCATATGACCCCTTTAAGTTTACTTAAGTTAGTTAAGTAGTTTTCATAAAAATTTAACATTGATAATTCATTTAATTTCAGCTTTATTTAAATTACAGAAAATGATTTGTAATACTTTTAGTTAACAACAACACTGTTTTACAGTAAGATTTATGCGAGTAAAATGAACTTAACTTTCCTGGAAACCAGTGAAGTTTGTAAGCAATTTTTTTCCTTTATGCAGTCGTATTGCAATATGACTTGCTATATTCTTGTGTCTTAAAAGTGCCAGATCTGAATGTACAGAAGTCAAGATTTTCATGCAATAATACATTTAGTTTTCATCTCTTCTTTAAACTGAGCTATTTCATGGTTAATATTCATTCATTCATTTTTTTCTGCCTTTGAAATCTTGGTTCTTGTGGACTGGATAGACACGGGCAATGCCTCTCCAGCCTAGACAAACAAATAGTGATCACTCAGCAGGAGTCAGAGGTCAAGCCAGGCCATCGGCAGCATTATTTTTCAGCTCTAAACATTGAGGTGTTGATGGCTGCTCCTGTTTCACCCATCAGGTCGCGACAGCATTATCTTTTAATGCCAGATCACTCCTTACCTCTCTGCCTGTCGTACAGTCCACACTCCCAAATGCCACCGGCATTACCATCAAACGATTCCTGTCACCTCTCCCAATACGGGGGGATTTGCAACAAGCCCGGGCTTATGAATCAAACAAACAATGAGAGCGAGCGGGCCGGCGTGCCTGTGTAAATGAGCGGAGGTGTGAGGATGCAGAGCAGGGAGACAGGTAGCTGGTGATAGCTGTCACACTGGATGTTTTCGCCCTGACAGGTGGCTGATTAGCAGGCGATGAAAGAGAGGAAGCGAATGAAATGAGGACGAGTGAAAGAGAGCGAGAGCGAGAGGCAGAATGTGTGGTTCTGTACCGTTTGCTCACCAGCCACGCATCCGTCTCTTAAAAAATCACACACACACACACACGGGCACAGTCTGAGGGGTAAGCTGGCTTTATCCGTGAGACCTGTCTCTTAGTATAGAAAATGACTGCATGCAGGATGTTGCCTCTGCCTCTCTTGCTCTCTCATACTCTCTGTCCATCACGCTAAGTTTATTTAAAGAAGTCAAACAAACTCAGTGTTTAAGTCTGACTGACCTCTCTCCATCCTATAAGTGAGAGCAGTTATTTATTTGTTAGTCCTCAGATGGGCTGTGCAGTAAAACTGTTGTGTTGACACCCTGTCACGCAGGAAGGATGTCCAGCATTTGTCTGGTGTGTTCAGCTGACATTGTGTGTCAAGGAGGCTTTGATTAGGCTAGAAATGTCACCCAGAGATTTCACGGATAGATTTCTCCAGCAGAGTGCAAAAAAAAGTTAAACTTCTTGTTGCATGTTTAGAGGGAAAATCAGCGTCCAGATATATCTGAAACCATTAGTGAAAATGCATCTATTTTGCATTTGTCAAATGTGATTTATAGCATAATAGTTTAAGTGACGTTAACATTCTGAAATCAACAATTTGACCCATATAAAATTAGCGACCGTAATAAGAAATCAGTACCTTTATTCAGCCAAGATGCATTAAATTGACGAAAAGTGACCGTATAAACACTTACAATAATATAAAGGATTTCTAATCCAAATAAATGCTGTTCTTTTGAACTTTCTATTCATCAACGAGTCCTGAAAAATATACCATAGTTTCAACAAAAATATTAAGCAGCACAGCTCTTTTCAACATTGATAAAAATAAGAAATGTTTCTTGAGCACCAAATCAACATATTAGATTAATTTCCGAAGGATAATGTGACACTTAAGACCGGAGTAAATCACAGAACCAAATGACATTTTAAAATAGAATGTTAAAATAGAAAATCATAATATTATTTAGCCATTTTACTGTGTTTTGATCAATTATGCAGCCTTGCTGACGTTAACATTCTGAAATCAACAATTTGACCCATATAAAATTAGCGACCGTAATAAGAAATCAGTACCTTTATTCAGCCAAGATGCATTAAATTGACGAAAAGTGACCGTATAAACACTTACAATAATATAAAGGATTTCTAATCCAAATAAATGCTGTTCTTTTGAACTTTCTATTAATCAACGAGTCCTGAAAAATATACCATGGTTTCAACAAAAATATTAAGCAGCACAGCTCTTTTCAACATTGATAAAAATAAGAAATGTTTCTTGAGCACCAAATCAACATATTAGATTAATTTCCGAAGGATAATGTGACACTTAAGACCGGAGTAAATCACAGAACTAAATGACATTTTAAAATAGAATGTTAAAATAGAAAATCATAATATTATTTAGCCATTTTACTGTGTTTTGATCAATTATGCAGCCTTGATGGGCATTAGAGACTTCTTTCAGAAACATTTTTAAAAATCCTATTTTTATATATATTGTCTTGTATAAATCGCCTAATCTGTTTATTCCCAGGTTTAAATGGCAATCAGAAGGGAATATCAAGTGGGAAGGAGAAGAAGAAAGAGGTTCACATCGATGTGAAGGTGCTGTTAAGGTGGGTAGTTGACAGTCACAGTTGACAGTGTAAGGAGGGAGAAATAAAGGTAGAGTGAGGGAGAAAAATAGAAAGCTGTTGATTCTTAGTGAACTCAGCACTGATGTCACAATACTTTACTTTATCTCTGACTCCTCCAACTTCAAGTCCATTTGTATCTTGAAGTGTTTCATGAGCATTCCTCTCCTTTTTCTCTCTGCTCACTTTAGATGCCTAGTGCAGGTCCTGTTCATAATTCATCTTCTCCCTCCTTCCACTTGACCTGTTTGGGTACAATGAGTGGAGCAGGCATTTGTCTTACTTTCGCTCCCTGTGTCTGATAGCCAATGCTCACAGTCACTAATGGAGGATACAGATGCCACATAGTCAATAATGAAGAGAAATTGTATTGTATTTTGCCCAGACAATGAGTTACAGAAGTAACAATTACTCCACACACATTTTCTTCTATCATTTTTAAATTGTTAATTTAATCATTATTATTTACAGTTGTCGTCTTTTATGTGAACGTCCTTAACAGTAAATGTTTACATATTAAAAGAGAGATCAGGACTAATGTATGGAAACAATATCACACTTGCAGTTGTGCTGTTGTTGTGTAGCATATTGACCTCATGCTTACGGTCAAATCGCAGCCTTTCTGAGATTCAGTATAACAGCACTCTTGCTTTAGTGATTAAAATATCCACTTAATAATTATTTACAGACATAGAGTAAGAGAAGCTGCACACATTGTGCACATATGTAGTCCTCCAAAATAACATCTCACAATAAAAATCACTATGGCTGGAGATAACAACGCCTCCTCCATTTGGACAAAGTGCTGACTCAAACCAGTATTTTCTAGTTGTTTAGACTTTCTCATTCTCAGCCCAGCAATTTGCAGACCACATGCAGTGGAGACACATTTTGTAGTACTGTATCTGTAACTTGTACTTTTTGTCTCAAGCTTAGATATATTCTAACACGCTGTATGTCTGCTACAGATTGAAGTAGGTTAGAAATCTAAAAATTGTGTTTTAAGATTAATGTCAAGTACACAATTGTCCCAATAATGGTTGAAACAGCTGTTAAAATTACTAAATTAATTAATTTCAAAATAATTAGTGTGCCCAGCCTCATTTAATTTTAAGCATTTTAATTCAAAATGGTAAATGTATAGGTAGCATTTTAATTCTAAACTTACTAAATGAAATACATATATATATATATATATATATATATACATATATATATATATACATATATATAATATACAGATACAGTATATGTTCAATGTAATACAAAAGGTTGTTATCTCAGTAGTTTGGTAGTAAAACAGTCCCTCCATATGCAAATCAAAACAACAACCAACTTGCAGTCTTACAGAATTACAGTCACATCGCATATACCAACAACATGTGCTATCTATTTCATTACTAACTGTAATCAGTAACAGTGTGTTTAATATCTTGTTTTATTTGTAATTAATTAATGTTTTTGCCATCTGGTTAATTTAGATTTATTTTTATTTTTTCTCATGTTTTAGTTAAAATGTTAGTTCACCCAAAAATGAAAATTGTATTATTATTTACTCATGAGTCATGTTGTTCCAAACCTGTTTGATGTTATTTTATGTTTTTTTCGTTTTCAGTTTGGGAAGAGAAAAACGTATGCCAACCTCCAAAAGAAAAGGGGAAAACAATTGAATGACCATAAATGTCATCACGATTGGTTCTAGACCCAATGTCTATTTAGAGTCAGTTGTATTTGTACTGGTCTGGATGTGGACACAGCCTTAACACAAAATGTTATTAGGAATAAAAACGAAAATGTTGGTCTGTTCCTCACACCAAGTTGTCATAAAACATTCATAAGCTTAAAATATAGCATTCAAGTTTATAATAATAATAATAACAATAATTTTGCGATATATTTGTTGTGCCTTTTTTTTTTTTT